GAATTGGCCTTCTCAGCCACACTAGATGCTGTTCCAAGTCCTCAATACAGAGCACGATACCATAGTCTTTCGAGACTGAAGGATGCCATCACTCACTCACATGACAGTCATGTTGTCTGTAAACTTGGATTATCTTGCTTCAAACCAGGATCTCAAATGATGGGAAATCCTTGAAGACAGCCAAGAGCTTGAGCACATTTATGTGGAGTCTTCTTTCTTAAAAAGACAATTGCACATTGGCTTATATATAGATCGCAGCAATGTGCTCCCCATTCTGTTGTGGAATCATCTATGGTAAGCGGAGATGGGGGTATTTGTATTTGTATATGAATACTCCCACACAGGTGGGCATAATGAGGGTCCAGCCCCATGGGGCTGGATGGTCCACTCAGTGTTCCGCTGCTGCTGCAACCTCCGCAGAGCCTTCCAGTGGCTCCAGAGATCAAGTTCAGTAAGCCACTCTTTGACCTAGCAGAGAGGCTTGTTGTCCCACCTCCTGCCAGGAGTGTGAAGCTGATCACAATCTCTGGAGCCATTGAAAGGCTCCGCAGAGGTCACGGCAGTGGTGGAACAATGAGTGGACCATACAGCCCTATGGATGCTGGACCCAAGAGCCAGTTGTCAATGTAAGGGAAGACTGTTACCTCTTTGGTTCTGAGATGGGTAACTCCTAGGGCCATGCACTTTGAGAAGACCTGAGGCATGGTGGAAATACCAAAGGAGAGTACTTTAAATTGGGAGAGACTATTTTCCAAGACAAAGCAAAAGTAGCATCTGTAGGATGCTGAAAGTGTAGTGATGTGAAAATAAGTTTCCTTTAGATCTATGGGTATAAACAAGGCATCCTGCCAAAGAAGGAGCAGAAGAGAAGCCGAGGTGACCATATGAAACCTTTACAACTGAATGAAGTGATTGTGACGGACAGGTCAGGAACCACTCCTGTCCATCACAATGGAACTCTGATTCAGGAGCCAATGGCTGTACAGAAAAGGCGGGACTAGGAATGGATAACAGTTAAAGAGCAGTTTGGAGTTAGAGAGGATTTCAGTTGGATAGCAGTTAGGGATGAGTTAGCGATGAGAGTTAGAGTTAAGGACTTCAGTTAGAAAGAAGCAGTTTAGGCAGTTAGGACCAGTCTTGTGTTAGAGAAAAGTAATAGAGAAATAGGGAATAAGAAAAGAAACGAATAAATACTTGAAGTACCATGATTCTATCTAAGCAAATATAAATGTTATAAAAGCACAGTTGATTGCATGAATAAAATAAGACCATCCATGATTTACTTGTGAACACGTTAATAAACATTGTTTAATTGAATAACACTGATTGAAGAGTCCTATTTGATATAGTGAGGAAGATCTCCTCTGGTGGCAGCGGAAAAGAAAAAAAAAGTCACACTCGAAAGTGAACCTGGGTTGTGTGGAGAAACAAACAGGGGAATGAGTGCATGACAGTGACTGACCTCATGAAAGTCCAAGATGGAATGACTAGTCATTTGACACTGAGACCAGTGAGACCCAGGGGAGGTATCCCACTCTTAACTCTGTAATAGTCACCATTCCCTTAGTCTCATTGCTCTTTTTGGTTCCAAAGATATCACAGTCCCAGCAAGCAATATTATGTCCCTGAACAGGCGTGTGGGATGGTGTTTGTTCAAGTATTTCCCCATCAGAAAAAGTGCCAGCACAGAACATCCTCCACAACAGAAATGTCAATCAGAATAAGGATGAGAGTACTCAGTCTTGAGATCAGCATAGATACAGATGAGACTGAATGCAGAAAGCTAAGGGCCTTAGAAAATATGAAAAGTTGCATTGAGCAGGTCATCAGTACAGACTTGTGCATATGGGCAGGGGACTGAGTTAAGATTGCTGGTAGGATCTGTGCTTTAGAGGGGCCTCTGACAAATATTTGTGGAAGCTGTATGCAGAGCATGGTTATGAGCTACCTGATTAGCCATCTTGAGGGACTTCTCCCACAGATGAAACCTCAGATTTGACTGATTGAACTTTAGGCCATGCTTGGTGAATCCCTGGTAGATGGATCAGACCTGAGAAAGGTGGCCCTTGATAAGGCAGAAAAGACACCACAAATAGGTGTCTGTGGAGGTGATCCTCCTGCTGCAGTCAGTGCACTTTTAAAAGAAGATTACTGAGGCCATCAGCATGGGCAATGCTCATGGAAATAATGGGAAAACTGTGAAAATAAAAGTGAGAATAAATAGTTGAACATAGTGCTCGGAATGTCCCTAACAATGTTGGCCTGGGAGCAAATGAAAAGGAACTGAGAGGCTCAAGCTGAGGTCATGTGCAGTAGGGCGGTGGGGCAGGATTTCTCATCTTAATTGCTCATCTCTAGGGATATTCCAGACAATTCTCTGCCCAGATATCAAGCCCTATTTATGTAAGTCACAACAATCATGAAGAAAAACTACTTGTTACTCATTACCAGTTTGATGTTACTTGTTAGACCTAAAAAAGGTTTGTAATTACTAGTTACATTGTTTATTTCCTGTCTTCCTGCAATGCAAATAATCCACTACCAAAGAGAAAGGGGGCAATCAGGGTTTTATCAGCCACAATTAAATTATGAAAGTACAGTGGTGCCTCGCTTAGCGACCTTAATCCGTTCCAGGAAAAACATTGCTAAGCGATTTAATCACTAAGCGATTTTAAAAAGCCGATAGAAAGGCATTAAAACGTGTTTAATGCGTTTCTATGGGCTTAAAAACTGACCTTATGCGAAGATCCTCCATAGGGGTGGCCATTTTCGGTGCCTCTAAAGCGAGGCAAAACAGCGGGTGGCCATTTTGTTTTTCCAGTGGCCATTTTGGAACCGCCGATCAGCTGTGCAAAAAGGGTCGCTTTGCCATGATCGCTTCCCCGCAATCTTTGCAAAGCGATTTTTCCCCATAGGGGCCATCGCTAAGCGATCGCTCTGGCGATGGCCAAAACCCCATCGCTAAGCGATTTCATCGCTCAACTGAGCAATCGCTAAGCGAGGCACCACTGTATATTTTTGTCACAGAATTGTGATATGTAGAGTACATCTGCCCTAAGTAATATAAAGGTATTCTTCATTCATGAACTCTCCTTTTCTCATCTTCCACATAGAAATGTCTCAAGAACATCATAGTAACCATATGGCTTATAAGTTTAAATTGCATCAAAATGCCATCTTTTCAGACAGTATATAATCCTCTTACTATTTTCAACACTTCTTTTTAGCGTGATTTCATTATAACAGAAGAAAAAGCACACAGTACTTGCAGACAAGAAACTGCAGCTCTCATGTTACCTATATGACCTATTTATACATACACTGTTATTACTAATAGAAATAAATCTACTGTATTCGTAATATGGTATGAATGCTGTGGAAAGTATGAAAAGCTCCTATTTTGACAGTTAGGCACTCTCACCTCTTAAGGAACTCCCTCTTTTAATCACACTCTACTTGTAGCATATAGTTTGGCCCTAACTCCATAGTCTAATTTTACATAACAGAACAAGTAACTGTGCTTCATTAATCTTGCACATTTTCTGCACGACCAAATCTTTTCGCCCTGACTCTAAAAGCAAAGCTGTCAGCTGCCCAAGGTTGAGGTGAAAAAGAATATAAAACACAGGTTTCAGAATTTAAAAAAGATTCTAAGTCACTTTTCACAGGATCATGGAATTGGAAGAGGTTTTGAAGATCATCTGCATTAAACTCAAAATTAATAAAGGACTTTCAATGCAGGATATAACTAGAGCATCCTTAAAAAGAGATTACTCGGCCACTGCTTAATATCTTTAACAAAAGAGAACCCATTCCAAACCTTTTGTGGTCAACCACTTAACAGGTCCTACTGCTAGAAAATTTATCCTAATGTTTAGTGAAAATTAGTTTCCTAACAACTTCTGCACATGGGTTCTGTCTTGCAGTCTGAAACAATACAGAATAAATCTGATCAACTGCAACATTTGGCTAAGAACATTTATAGAAGTTTTCAGCTAACTCAGCAAATGCATTATTTTGTACATAATGACCAGAATCCTACTGGGGTTCATGTAAGGTTTGCATGACTTGCCATTGCTAATTGAGTCTAATTGATGGGGTGTCAGGACATGTCTTTATGATGTGCCCGGTTATATGCCTGACTATGTAATGAAGATGAGCACCAGCATCTCATCAATTAGCCGTGGCACGTTAAGCAAACCTTAGGGCCTGTTCTCACTGCTGAAATAAACCAGCAGAGCAAATGTGTGTTTGTTTTTTGTGTTTGTTTTTAGATACATGCTTAAGTCACATGTACTTTAGCCCAAATCCAAAACGTTGGATTAGCGGCGATGTGTGTGTCCTCACCCTGCTACTGCCAACATTACCACTGCTGTCACTTTCATCTTACATCAGGTGGATCTGATGGGGAGAAGGGGGAGAACTCAACGGAAGAGGGAGGAGGACAAATGGGAAAGGGGCAAGGGTTTTTTCCCTCAGCAAACCCAACCCTCAGCAAACCCAGTATATATATACACACACAAATATACATACACACATGCACATACAAAGGGGTGAGAGACAGATTAAGAGTTACAGCAAAGGAGGTGTGAGAGTGGTTTCTCCCCCCTGGATGCAGAAAACCCAGACCTTCCACCTAGAAAGTGAGCCAGAGGAGGAGGAGGAGGAGGAACCATCCTTCCCTTTGTGCTCCAAATCTTGGAGGAACTGTCTCCATGGATCCCCATGCTTGTTATATATAGGAATAGTCCTTGCGGGCAGTGCCTTGTGTATACGCTTACATTTATGTCAGTTTTTTTTCCCAGCAGAACACGGATTTTAATGTCAGTGGAGTCGAGCCCTTAGACAAACATTAGTAGGATTCCAGCAACTGAGTAATGGGATGAGGAAACAACTGGATGAAGTAGATTTCCTGCTTTGGCCCTTAGAGTGCCTTCCAGCTCTACAATTCTATGATTCTGTGCAGATTTCCAATATTTAGGTCAGTAAATTAAACTTACGTTGTACATGTAAGCTATGTTGGTTCCAAGATACTTTGCACCATAAAGTTTTCCATCTGGCCACTTCACTTGAACAACCTCTCCCTCTGCAGGTGGACCCAGCTTCAGGCAGTCTCTGCTCTATTTCAAAACAAAAATATCTGCAGTCAATAAGCAGGAAGATAGCATTAGAAACACTAAGGTAATTGTTCTGCTTTCCGTGTCTTGATCATGAAAATGGAATGTTACTACTGTCACATTCATGTCTGCTGTGAGAAGAAGAGTGTTCCAGCTTCACACTTAACACTGCATAAGTACACAGCCAACATAACATGACGTTTTGGAAACCACAGGCAGATTCTTGTGATTTTATGTATAAATTTAGCTGAAGGGTTAGGCACTTAAGAATCAAGCACCTCAAAGAAAATCCTTGCCATAACATTCATCAAGTTATCCCATGACAGCATAGAACAGGAAGGAGAGAAATGTTATTACGGAGAAGCTGTCTTTTTAAAGCCAGCGTAATCTGTTTTCTCGGTACCCAAGAGAGAATCTAGCACACAGTGAGTTCTATTTCTGCTGAATATTCATATTTCCTGTTCTCATAATTTTTTGAAATGCTTTCTGGTAATGTATTTCCAGGCATCAATATAATCTGTCTTTCTGTACCCTCACAGTAACCTTGCAAAGAGGATTAGGACAGCATGGAAACAGATTTGTCCAATGGTACTCTGTGAGTTTTTAAAGACCAAACAGATACTTAAGAATCTGTATCTCTTTCATCAAGACATTACCCACTAAATACTAAGGTAGTATATTGTCTTTATTCCCTGCTCTACCCATGATGAAGAGCATGGAAACCCACTCCTACATATCACAGAATCTTCCAAGCTGTAAAGGGCAGAAAAGTGAAGGTAGAAGGGCAACAGGCATCAGCACTGTCCTCATGAGTTTCAAGTGGAGGATTTCAAATGTTTGAAAATTCTATCCAAAACATTTGAGAGTAGGACAAGATTTTATAAATCAAGCTCCAGGAATTAGAGTATTACTCTGTGCCATAAATTTTTAACATAGTACAAACTATTGTAGTACTGGAAGCTTGGTTTCCTGATGCAGCACAGATGGTGATTCTTAAAGAAAAGGACTATCAAAGTATGCAAAGAGTGAGGTGACCTGGAAATTACATTTTGCTCTGTCTTTAAACAAAGGATTTTGCTTCTCTCCACCATACACATTTTCTGAAGATTCATAATTATTTCAGGAGTGGTGGTCCTACCAAGTACCAATATAGCTCTTCCAGCTCCCAAATATGTATACACTGATTTATAATCTGTGTAGATTCAGACTGAAGCAAGCAACTATGATGTGGTCCCCAAAGTCTGGTTGTGAATATCTTCATAGTTAATGTAATCCATATGATCAATAACTTTAAAAAAATCTTGATGTGCCTATCCTGTATCTTGGGACAGTTATAAATGGAATATTCATAAAATACATCTGCTGAACAGTTATTTACCATGAAAACAAAAACATAATCGTTGTTGTTGTTTAGTTAAGTCGTGTCCAACTCTTCGTGACCCCATGGACCAGAGCACGCCAGGCCCTCCTGTCTTCCACCGCCTCCTGGAGTTTGGTCAAATTCATGCTGGTAGCTTCGGTGACACTGTCCAATCATACAGGCACTTAATGACCAAGTCCTGTTCCTACAACTAGGTTGTTAAGTGAGTCGGTTGATAAGTGAGGAGCAGTAAACTGTATATAAGAGTAATAAATCACGTGCCATGGGAAAGGGATGTGGTGAAAATGCAAGCACACATTTACGAGGGTCGTAAAAGGTCATAAATCTGAGCTGTCATTAAACAGGGAGATTGTTATGTGATGAGTGTCTGTACATTTGTGATAACGTGACAGTGAGGTAACAGATGAAATGTAATGTTGTACATGAACAGTTAGATAGATAGTTATGAATACTGTCACTCATGTGGAGACAATTTTACCAAGGACATCCCAAGAAATGTTGTAGCAACATTCTTACCAAGTGGTTGACAAAATAAATTCACCAGCATATATACCAGTACAGGTTGTTGTGACCACTGAGTGACTAAGTTCAAGTGGTAAGAATGCCCACTGATGCAGTGGAATTTATACAGTGGACCCTCTACTTACGGAATTAATCCATATTGGAACGGTGGCTGCAGGTCGAAAAGTCTGTAGGTCGAGTCTCCATTGACCTACAATGCATTGAAAACCGATTAATCCCATAACCAGCTGTTTTTGTTCTATTTTTGTTCCATTTTGGTTTTTTTCTGGTCTGTAGGTTGATGCTCCGGCTGCAAGTCGAATCTAAATTTTGCGGCCAGAGAAGTCTGTAACTTGAATAGTCTGTAAGTCAAGCCGTCTGTAAGTCGAGCGTCCACTGTATATGTTTCGACTCATCAAATCCCCATTCATTCAATGGCCCCATTCTAGTTGTGAATTATTATTGGATATCAGCCAGTATGTGGTTTTCTTCATTTACCTAATATAGCAATATATTAAGCCTCAAAATACAAATAGACAAAATAACTACAGTGGTGCCTCGCAAGACGATGTTAATTCGTTCTGCGAAAAACATTGTCACGTGAAAAACATCGTCTTGTGAAATGAGGTTCCCCATTGGAATGCATTGAAATCTAATTAATGCGTTCCAATGGGGAAAAAATCATCTTGCGAAAATCATCCATAGAAAACATTGTCTTGAGAAACGCGGTTCCCCATTGGAATGCACTGAAATCTATTTAATGCGTTCCAATGGGGAAAAATTGTCGTCTTGCGAAAATAGTCCATAGAAAACATCGTCTTGTGAAGCGCCACAGCAATTGCAAGAAACAATCGTCTTATGGATTAATCATCCCGCGAGGCAATCGTCTTGCAAGGCACCACTGTATTCTTCTCTCCAGGCAAATGGTAGCAGTATGAACTGTTCAGCACATCACCAAGGGCCATACAATATGATGGCAAGTAGATTTTCCCCTTATTAATTGGGTTATTTAATAAAATATCTAATTTGACTCACTATCAATTTAGTTTGGTAATGAATTCAGCTATTAAATATGGAAATACAACATAATATCTCAGTGTAGCATGCTTGTATTTAAATTAGTATATTAGAGTATATTACTATGCCATTGTGAAAATCAAAAGCAAAGCAAGGCAACAAGAACACCTAAAAATATCTATGCATATTAGAAGAAATAATAGCACAGATGTGTTCCTCTTTCAATTTGGCAAGTGGTGAAAAACTGTGAATGTCTTTATCACAGATAAAACAAAGGAAGACCATAGACTGTAACCCACTATTTTCAATAATGATTCTGTATTCTTCACAAAGGAAAGACACACACTCACATAAAGGGAATGATACTGGGGACAGGAAAAAAAATTGCATTTAAGTGCAGCAGGATGATATACAAATGTTGCCAGGAAATGATATCAATCTCAATGGGAAAAATGGCACTTTATTCAAACTGCTGGATAACAGTTCTCAGAGAAACAGCATTCATTTACGGTCCTTGAAGCTTCTGTCATCAGCCAAAATTCTGAGCATATATTAAAATCTAACTCCCTCTGGTGGTAGATTCAAGCAAGGCTAAAATGAACACATGACGTACTGCCCAAATGTACAGGCAGTAATGCTCATAGGTGTCAATGACAACATTGATGCATATATGGGCACAGCCAAAGATTTCCTAGGCTAATAGTCTTGCCTGAACAGCTGTACTTTCCATTCCACTGATGCTACTGCATGGACATGCTGTGAAGTTCCTTAAACCAAGGTGAAGAAAATCAATTCCCATCTTGATAAGATTAGAATTCTTTTCTGCAGATGATTGCTAAACTCATTTCTACCAGCTGCTCTTCTACATGGCACTTTAAAACAGATGAGATGGCTGACACGTCACTTTGCAAGAGAGCAACTTAAAAGGTTTTTCATTCTAGTAGAGCTGAGCAGCCAGCATGTGTTGTTGATCAGCAGCAAAATACCAGGATGGTGGGTATGAACCTCAAAACATTTCTTTTTACAGAAATTAAGGCAAATATGTACATTATATCACAGTAGTGAGTACACCCCCTCATATTTCATAAATATTTTAGTATATCTTTTCATGTGACAACACTGAATAAATGACACTTGGCTACAACGTAAAGCAGTGAGTATACAACTTTTATAACAGTGTATATGTGCCAACCCTTCATAATAACGCAACACACAGCCATTAATATCTAAACCACTCGTTCTTAACCTTGGGTTACTCAGGAATTTTGGACCGCAACTCCCAGAAGCCTTCACCACCAGCTGGGGTTTCTGGGAGTTGCAGTTCAAAAGCATCCGAGTAACAAAGGTTAAGAACCACTGGTCTAAACCACTGGCAACAAAAGTGAGTACACCCCTAAGTGACAATGTCCAAATTGGGCCCAAGTAGCTTTTTTCCCTCTCTGGTGTCATGAGACCCATTAGTATCACAAGTCTCAGGTGTGAAGGGGGAGCAGGTGTTATCGCTCTGACTCTCTCAAACTGGTCACTGGAAGTTCCACATGGCACCTCATGGTAATGAACTATCTGAGGATCTGAAAAAAAATGTTGCTCTACATAAAGATGGCCTAGGCCAGTGGTTCTTAACCTTTGTTACTCGGATGTTTTGAACTGCAACTCCCAGAAACCCCAGCCAGCACAGTTGGTGGTGAAGGCTTCTGGGAGTTGCAGTCCAAAACTCCTGAGTAACCCAAGGTTAAGAACCAGTGGCCTAGGCTATAAGATGATTGCCCAAACCCTGAACCTGAGCTGCAGCACAGTGGCCAAGACCATACAGTGGTTTAACAGAACAGGTTCCACTCAGAACAGGCCCCACCATGGTCGATCAAAGAAGCTGAGTATCCATGCTCAGCATCATATCCAGAGATTGACTTTGGGAAATAGACATGTGAGTGCTTCCAGCATTGCTGCAGAGGTCGAAGGGATGGGGGTCAGCCTGTCAGTGCTCAGACCATACGCCACACACTGCATCAAATTGGTCTCCAGGGCTGTCATCCCAGAAGGAACTCTCTTCTAAAGATGATGCACAAGAAAAGCCCGCATACGGTTTGCTGCAGACAAAGGACAT